TGGGTGGGTGGGTGAACATGTCCATATATGTATCTATGTTTGCGTAAATGTGAATAGAAAAGTATGTCCGCCTCCATTCTTGATTGAGATAAAATATAACACCCAAAGGCTATTAAAGTCAGGAATACAGAATACAAAAATACAAATGCACATCGTTTAACTCTTTACAAACCAGTTCTCTTGATTGTTTTCGCATACTTAGATCATATCACAAGATCCCGAGGAAGAATTTAAGATGGAGTCTGAGAGGAACGACAGAGCAGAGGTGAGTAGCGATGCTAATTTTGTGACATGTATGTGTTTTTTACAATAATTTCTTTTCTTTTTTTTTTTTGGTGAGTGTTTTAAAGCGTTGACAACCGCATAAGGGTATACAAACGTACGGGACATTAATATTAAGCATCTTCTGTTTGGTTCGGAATTAATGTTGAATTTTGTCTGGGTAGCAGCCGAAGCCTATTCTCATCGGTTTTAGGACCATTAAGGGACCTTTAACGTGCACAACTTGCACACGAGACATCCGAATTTTTTAAAGCCCTTATCCGAGAAGGCTAGATGTTAGATCTCAACTACCATAAGACCAGGAGTGTGGCTGAAAGGCTGCAGTAAGAAGGAGTAACAGTACAAAGGCATCAGAAAGAGTTAGGAGCCCAGAGGATGGGGCAAAGGGGACGGGGGAAGGCCAGAAAATGGAGACGAAAGCAGACGACAGAATATGATTAGATAGCAGGAAGGGTGAAAGAAGAAAAAATTTCCAGCTGCTGTCAGGTTTCGAGCCCAGAAACTATTGAACAAGAGGCTACACCCTACCTCTTGACCGCAAGATCCACCAGTGCATGTACATGAAATAAATCAAAAATAAATTATCGAAAGCAAGACAAATGAATTGGCTTTAAGATGATACCAGTAGCTCCATAATATACTCTAAAATTGAAGAACGCCTGATTTCACCGCGTCGGGACGCATTCTTTTTTTTTTTTCTCTTTGTCAAGGTTCGCGAGTCACTGATTGAGTCGATATCGAAACTTCCGACCCAGTCTGTCATCTCCATCCAGCAAGTGATCAGTTTTTACGCCGAGGCGACAGTGTATGGAGATGAGATAAGCCAAGACAGTCAGGTGAGATAATAACAATATTATTATGTGAAGATAAGTTATGCCATTTTATTACAGATGCGACATCTCTTTGAATGTAATACGCACTGGGCGTCTTTTGGAAAATGGAAATGAGCTGAAAAAATTATATACAATGATTATTATCATTATTATTATTGTTATTATTATTATATTATTATTATTATTATTATTATTATTATTATTATTATTATTATTATCATTATTATTATTATTATTATTATTATTATTATTACTATTATTATCATTATTACTATTATTACTATTATTATTATTATTATTGTTGTTATTATTATTATTATTATTATTATTATTATTATTATTATTGTTATTATTATTATAAGCCGAAGCAGTCAGGTGGGATGCACAAAGGTAATTTATACCAATTTAACACAGATTCCAAAAACAGTTAGATGACATATAATATGAAAACAGTACTTTATTCCTGTTTATTGCAAACAAACCAAAACAGTCAGATAACCCCATAACGGCCAGGTGGCATAAACCAGGAAAGTCAGCCAAGCCTGCCAATTAGGGATATTTGTGTCTTGGTCAAGGACACACCCCAGTGGCCACCCACCTAAAGCTCGTGTTTCAGTCACTGCGTTTCGCTACCTCAGAATTAGAAAGTTTTATTTGCTCAGTTTCACAACAATTTAAGCTTTTTCAAATGCAGTTCATTGAATAACTTGATAACTGGACTCCGAATAACCTCACGATTTTGATAGAACCGATAGAACATTCGGTTTACTACTTCATGGTCTTAATGACTCGAAAAGGCCCCAAAAAGTCAGACAGAACTTTGCAATTTAAAGGTAGCGACTTGCTTTTCATTATTTTTGCGTCTGCACTCACTACTCCCCCGTCCACTGCAACCCCAATTGTTACAGGATTCTACACTTACTGTTTGTTACAGGAAACTGTGATGGAAGCGCTTGAGAACATGACCCTCTTCATGACTGACCCCGAAAGCGTGGACAAAGTGCCATCAGAGGACCTGGAGGTTGCCATGGAGAATGGGATTGCTGCCATTGGCGGAATCATGGATGTAAGGAGTGTGGTTTGAAACAGAAGAAAAAGGACAAATAATCAGCTAGATAAAATACCTAAACACACACACACACACACACGAAAAGGCATGCACGCATACACTCACGCACACACAGATACACACACATATACACACACTCTCTTTCTCCATCTCTTCCTCTCTCTCTCTCTCTCTCTCTCTCTCTCTCTCTCTCTCTCTCTCTCTCTCTCTCTTTCTATGGCACATGTTCATATGATCTTATGCACATACATTTCTCCCCCTCTCTCTCTCAGTCTCTCTCTCTCTTTCTCTCTCTCTCTCACTCACTCAGTCACACACACACACACACGCACATACATATTATATACAAATGCGTGCTCATACGCACATGCCCACAGATAGATAGATAGATAGATAGATAGATAGATAGATAGATAGATAGATAGATAGATAGTAGATGGATGGATGGATGGATAGATGGATGGATGGATGGATGGATGTATAGATCGATGGTAGGTAGGTAGTTAGGTAGGTAGGTAGGTAGGTAGACAGACAGACAGACAGACAGGCTGATAGATAGATAGATAGATAGATAGATAGATAGATAGATAGATAGATAGATAGATAGACTCTATAGCAGGTGGTACATTCATTGTCATTAGAAAGAGTCTTATCTTTAGAGAACAAAGTGGACAGCCTTGTTTTTCTACAACAGAATCCTGTAATAACTGGTCTGTTGAAGCGAGGCAGATATAAAAATTATGTTAAAAATCCGATCACAGTCTATGTTACATAGCAGCACAAAATTTACATGAGGAGAAAAATCAGATATTTCACCGGCATATCCATCAATGTAAAGTGTTTTTAGTTTGTTTGATTGTTTAAAATAACGAAATAAAAGCACGATTCTGAGATTTTACGGGGGCATGCACGCCGTCTCAGTGCCCTGGAATATGTTTTTTTTAAGAGTGGTTTTTGCCGCTACCCCAAATTACGATACTTGAGCTGTCATTCTGCTAATTAATGGGTGCGAAACATGTCCAAGAAATACCGCAGTTATTGTTGATATGATTGATTCTGAAGTACAGCTTTCGTATTTCTTTCTGCCTATATCAGGCTGCAGGTAACAACGGTTACAGAGGTACCCTGAAAGAGTTGGAGGAGGCTGAAGAAGACGAGGAGTGGTTTGTCTACGACAGCTCCTTAAACGCTCTTGGAGGGGAAGATGGTAAGCTGGGTGCATAGATATGTTGTACAATATCTAAGACTATGCATTCTGACGGGGCCTCCAGTGAGTTGGGGGCAAATATTCTCATACAAACCCACTGCTCCGCAAGAAGGATGTACGACTCCTCCAATGGTGAAAAGTCACCCATGAACATCTACACTCGGGTGTGCATGGATGGCATTCACTTTGGTGTTGATAGTGCTGTAAAAAACCAACTCAATCAATCAATCAATCAATCAACCAATCAACCGGTGAACCAACCAGTGAATCAATCAATCAATCAATCAGCCAACAACTAATCAAACAATCAATCAATCAATCGATCAACCAATCAAACCTTTTGACGTTACCCCGGTTCATCAACCATGGAGCGCACCATTTGACTCTAAATAGAATCAAAATGAAGTGCAAGAAGGGAAATGTGACGCATGCGCTCGACAATTGCGAGACTGGTATCTTGCCCTTCGATTGCACGCCTACGACGCGCAGCAAGACGGCGATTTCAAAAGAAAATGGAAAGCAAAGAGAGGTTGCCAATCAATGGCCGGTTTAGGATAATACAATTCAAGTCTGTGGTTGGATGTAAGAGATTGTATTTGATTGTGTTTTATGGTGAAATGGTCAGCTGTTCCTAAAAGGTTGCAATTTTTGGTGTTTTAGAGTGAAAATGGTAACATGTTTGTGAAAGATTGCAATTGATTGTGTTTTAGAGTAAAGAAGGTAAGATGTTTGTAAAAGTGCGATGTAGTTTATATTATTTGGGAGGCCGGCTGTCTGTTTCAACACTTACTGTAAAGGCCAACACAGCAAAGTGACGGAGATACTTAATTTTAAAAAATCCGTAACCACTCGTGATTCGAGCTCTCGAGTGTGAGCTTTTCTATATGGCATCAAAAATAGGACCGTGCCCATAAGGATAATATTATTAAAGATTTTCTAATGTCTTTCTTTTACATGCACAGAGTGTTTCGGTAATTTAGGATTTCTACCCCCCCCCCCCCCCCCCCCCACCAATTTTCCACGCAATTTCAGACATGAGCTCAGCTGGGACCTTTGATGAAGCTATGAAGATTCACACGGCTCGGATACACAAGATCAGGCAGGCAAAAACGGTGAGTGAATTTGAAAGATGTTTAGTTATGCAATATGAAAACATTTCATGATAAACCACAACTGCAACCTCCACCATAACAACACTTACCACTGCTTCTACCAATACCGCCACTACTACTACTACTACTACTACTACTACTACTACTACTACTACTACTACTACTTCCACAACTATTACCATCACTACTACAACCACTACCACTACCGCCACCAACAATCAGAACCTTCACTACCATCACCACTACCTCCAGCACTGTCACCCCCAGTACCACAACCACAACCACAACCACAACCACGAATAGCACTACCACTCAGCACTACCATCATTACCACCACTACTACTACTACAAGGCGACTGCCACTTTTCCCACCATCTCTACCAGCACAACAACCACCACCATGTTCTGATCCTTAGCTAGTGCAGCAATTGTGGCAGAATATCTTTATTCATCTCGCTGGGAGACAGCTTTTGTCGTTTACAATTACAATGATGTTACAAAGTCTATTGTGCACTCACAAATACACATACTTGTATTACGAGCTCCATAAACGTTCTCCTACCGCTCCCTCTTCCTCCAAACCCATCTTCTCTCTCTCTCTCTCTCTCTCTCTCTCTCTCTCTCTCTCTCTCTCTCTTTCTCTCTCTCTCTCTCACTCACACACACACACACACACACACACACACACACACACACACACACACACACACACGCACACTCTTTCTGTCTCTTTCACTCTCTCTCTTTCTCTTTCTCTTTCTCTCTCCCTCTTTCTCTCTCTCTCTCTCTCTTTCTCTCTCTCTCTCTCTCTCTCTCTTTCTCTCTCTCTCTCTCTCTCTCTCTCTCTCTCTCTCTCTCTCTCGCTCTCTCTATCTCCCCGTTTCATTTGTAGCGCTATATGTCCAGTAACCTCACGACCAACGTCTGTAGTGTAGCGTTGTATTGTTTATATTTGTGTGGCTTCATGGTGAAATCAAGCGTTTGTCAAAATAATTAAATTAAAGAAACCAACATTTTCCACCGTTTGAACATTTTTTATGTATTTGATTTGGCTCTATACATATTTTCATCCATCTAAAACACATTTTTGTGTGGATTTTACCGAATCGCGTAAATCAAAGGCACAAACAATGTGAATTTACAATTTCCAAGGACACTTTGGAGGCCACTTTTTACACATTCTACCAATGATACCATTCGAGCCTCACCTCCTTCCATCGCAAATATCTCAACTTAAATGCACGATAGAGGGCTACCTCTGTCATGAAAAGCAAGACACGTGATACATTTTAAGATGATACCGGTAACTCTATATACTAAAAATCTGAAGAGTACCCGATTTCATCGTGCCTCTCCCCCCCCCCCCCCCCTTTTGGCGTCGTTAGGTGTGAGGACATATTATTTACATTTTGTTCTCTTTTATTTTCATCACAGGCAGAGAGGGTGAGGCAGAGGGTGATCCGGACTTTGGACGCACAGGCTAAAGTCTTCTCACGCTACAGTGTACCCGGACAGGTAATTGTTACTGTAGTTTGTAAAACGCGATGCTTTACGCCCCCATTGACAAAATAATACAGATAATTCTGAATCCGACTAGTTCGATCCTGCCTCTCAAGGTCAACCTCGGACTGAGTGGGGTGTAACATCCCATGCAGTAGACTGACGGCGACGTTGAGTCCTTCTGAGCTAAAGGAACAGACTCTCAGCATTTGCTCTTTTGAGAACTTCAGTGTATGGTATTTTGTCCTGCTATTCGACGCCAATAATTATCTTGAAACATTTCAAGTGGAAACAATTACATTTCTTAATATGGCTTTTGTACACTGTTCACGTCTCATGCCATGCACCTTACAACAGTATGAATTTTACTGCATACCCAAACCTTTGCTTGGGGTCCTCCAAACGACGCACTAACTTAATTCACGCGTAAAACTAGTTCGGCGTTGATGCATTGCATTTGAAAACAGTGTACTGTCAAGATGTTTGAAGTTATCAACATTTTTCAGTTCTCTGTCATGTATTTTGACTTCAGAGCGGAGGGGTTTGCGTATGTCCAGGGACAGGCTGGAAGAGAACCTTGGTCTTTGATGAGCTTATTGAGAATCAGAAATTCTTACATTCATTAAGAGAAGCATTCAACGTTGTTTGCATGCGGAACTACTTCGTTCAAAATTGACCTTTAACTTTTCAGACACTGCTTATGAGATCAGTGAAGATGAAGGTGATCATGGAGAAGACTGACGTCCAGAGACTTATCGGGAAAACTCTCAACCCGCCTGGATCTACAGGAGGTGTCACACTTCCGGACAACGCTTTCATTGGAGGGGACCCAGAGGAAACAGTGGTCGCTTCTGTAAGTCATGTGACCATGTTAACTCAATTGGAATTGTTTGAGGGCCATTTCCATTGCTTTGCTAACATCTGGATCGCGATCTGCAGTATTGTAGTCTCTCTTCTTAGTTCTTCTTCTTTTTATGATAGATGTATTGTTGAAAGTTGTATTATTTAATGCAATATATCGTTTTCTTTTTACTAGTTAAAGGCATTTGAGACACCTTTTCTCTATCAATGGCCGATCTGTCTTCTGACTGTCCTTTGTTTATGTGCTCGTTGTCAGCATTATGATCTGATAAATTTTATCGCTCCATTCTGCGTCGAATAAGAGCAGGTTGTTGGAGGACGCTTTCTCGTACCTCACACTGTTTATCTGGGCTAAAATCGTTTCAGTATTACTTTTATTTCAATCTATGGCCGGCAAAGTTTTGCTCTCCCTAGTCGAAAACAATGACGTTAATTATATAAGATTCTGCTCAGAAGTCCAAGAGGTGAGTGGTTAGTCAGTATGTTTTCAAAACCTGTGGCCAAACAACGGTAAAGACAACAAACATCCGGGTGCTAAAAAAAACCCCCACATTTACACCAGCGGAACCGACTTCTGTTGTGAAGTGGTTAGGAGCTACACTACTCCACGCAGAAGACCCGAGTTCGATTCCCGTGAGAGAAGAATGTTAATTTTGTAGGGATGCGTGAGTATCTGGTCGACACGGTCGCAAGAATGTGTACCAAAGTTTCTGCAATATTTTCAATAATTTTCTATTGCGTCCGACCCATTGAATCACACTTATGCGACTCGCCATGTATGCTAACACAGAAATCCCCACTCTTTTTTAGTTTTAGTAGAGGTTTTACGGCGCTTTTCAACTGCTTAAGGTCATATGAGCGCCAGAAGGTTAGAGGTGTTACAAGAGAGTAACAAACATAAAAAAGAAGGAGGGGAGATAAGGTTGATAGATGTTTGATAGGAAAGAAGGAGCAAACGACACCAGAGCACCCGCCAACCACCCACAATCCCCACTCTGCTCTTGTCCTACCTAGGTATCCCAGTCGACCAACCAACCACAGTTCATTTAATTGTAGTTTCAATCTAGTTTAATGTTCTCAACCATACCATTTTAGATCATTTTAGAGGCAGACTGCTTAGTCTCTGCCTGTCAGGGTCTATCAATAATAAGATGGAAAAACGTCTTAGTAGCTGGATTGAAATACTCAGTTTACCCCCTCCCCCACCCCTCCATCCCAAAAAACCCAATAGAACATGACAAAGAAACAGACAAACTAAAACAAACTAACAAACTAACAAGCAAACAAACTGACAAACAAACACACACACTCAAACTAACTAACTAACTAACAAACTAACTAACTGTAGGTGTTTAGCGGGTGCTCTGGTGTGGTTAGCTCCTTTTTTCCTATCAAGCATCTATTCTGCCGTAAGCTGACAAAACACCTTTTTGTTTTCTTCTGGCACCAAAATTTTTCGTTTGCTAAATCAAAAGCCTGACCAGTTATCCTACTGTGTGAAAAAATGAAAGTGAAACTATGACAACTTTTTGTAATATAAATTAGAACTCAAATTTCGGAAGAACGCTATTTTTAAAGGGTTATGCTTTACAAAAAACCCCATATTTTTCTTGAAACTGCTGTGAATAAAAAAAAAAGGCGTTTTGCCCGCTTACGGCAGTATTGTCTTTATCTCCCGTCCTTCTTTTTTTTGTTTGTTACTCCCTTGTAGCACCTCTAATCTTCTGGCGCTCATATGAACTTATGCAGTTGCGAGCGCCGTAAAACCTCTACTAAAACAAAACAAACAAAACAAACTAACTAACTTAACTAATTAACTAACTAGCTCACTAACTAACTAACTAACTAACTAACTAACTAACTAACAAATTAACGAACTAATTAACAAAAAAATAAACGAAGCTTTCAATATCGAACTCTTGTCTTCTGCTTACGACGGCGAAACGCCTAAACATTGCACGGCAGACACTGGTCCAAATATGATGCGTCAATATTTGCAGTAATTATTATTCATTTTGATGCTAACCCTTGATATTATCTTTCCTCTGCTTACACAGGTGACTCAGTCAACCAACCACCCTCTGAAATATTCTGATAAGGCCAAAGGTATCTCTCCTTCAAGCAACTTCATCTCTATCAATTTGTACGATGACAATAACTCCAAGGTAAGGCGGAACGTTAAGAAGAATTTTCTGTACTTTTGAAAACAGTAACTATTTTCACAGGATTTAAGTTTGCTCAGATGCACAGGTTCATATGATGCATATTTATGTGTATATTTGTATATATTAAGGGTTTGTGTGTGTATGTGTGTGTGTATGTGTGTGTGTATGTGTGTGTGTATGTGTGTGTGCATGTGTGTGTGTGTGTGTGTGTGTGTGTGTTTGTTTGTTTTTGTGTGTATGTGTATGCTTTTCTCTGAAAATAAAGTGGCAAGTTTGTTGTTGTTGTTGTTGTTGTGTGTGATTGTTTATGTGTGTGAATGTGTGTGTGTGTGTGTGTGTGTGTGTGTGTTTGTACGTGCGTGTGTGTGTGTGTGTGTGTGTTAGTGTGTGTGTGTCAGTGAGTGTGTAGTGTGTGTATGTGTGTGTGCGTGTGTGTGTGTGTGTGTGTGTGTGTGTGTG